TGATTGAGTAACACATCGTAGAATGCAGATACGGGCATGCAAAATACACTTGTGAAAAGCTGAAGTCTGGCGATTCTAAAAATATATACTTTCCCGGGTCTATTTGTAGTCATTTAGTCACAATTAGAAGATGAAAACAAGTATGCAAATAATAGTCCCGCTACCTTAATTTGGAGCAATTTTGTGTAAATCAAATCTGCCAGTCACTAAACACAACTAACATAGGAAAGTATGTAATGTTTGTTAGTTTACTAAAATGAAAATGAAAATAGTTGTCCTATGAATTTGAATAAAGTGGAACCTAATGTTTGTACACAAAACAAGAGGCTGGTGTGCATCTCAATCTTATTTTATCATATCATTTTGTCATATAGTTCATCTTCAATCATTGAACAAAAAATTCTGTGTGATATGATTCTGTAAAAAATGCTGAAAACTATCACAAGTGAATCTGTTGCTATTGGAAAGAAACTGATGTGGATATTTGTGATTTTATGGTATTGCGTGATTACCGTTATATTTATTGCCATACACTTAAGGCTTAAAGGCCCAACTCACTTGCCCTGGGCAAGTGTGAATTGGAGGTGTGGCTATGCTAAGAAGCGGTGTTAATCACTTGCTTAGCCTATGACGCATTCTGTTTCAGAGGTCCAACATCACGTGACTTTGATTGACAGTAGTAATTATTCAAGATTAGTCTCGCGTCCCTTTCCCCGGTTCATGTTTTTTTTATTTTTATCCGCCAAAATCTCAGCTTGTACACTATTTATTGTCATAAATACAACACACAGTCACTGCTGTGATATTCATAGTCACATGCATCCACTTTGGCACGACATAATAGACCTGTAAGTTGAGAAAACGCGTTTTTACCGGAGCTTCGCTGGAGCTGTTTACTACAGCGTGACAAGCAAGAAAATAATCCCTATTGCTTTAGAGCGTATTTATAGTATACCTGGGCCTTTAAGACAACCAGTTCCGCACAATATAACAAGCTACACTAGTCTATACATGCTGTTTTGTAACAGAAAACGCGATTAGCTGTTGGTGAAATAAGATTTGAACTTTGATTTCATTGTGTACCAAACGTTCATTCCTGATATGCAATGCTGGAGTAACATGTCTGATCAGCGGTCACAAAACCACTTCATGTTTGTATGTAAAACACTTGTACCTTACCTATCAGCAAACCACTGAGTTGCAACATCTCCAATTGGTAGTTTAGATAACACAACTTGAGCGCCACTGTCGTGAAGTTTTTGTAGTTTATCATACAGTATAGACCACTCGGCATCAACTACAGCCTGATACTCCTACAGACAATCAGCAAATTCAATATTATTTATTATAAATTCAAGGTGGTGTTAACTTTAAGGTGAACCATGGCACAGTTTTTTTCTGTTAGAAGTACCTAACTAATAGAAGCGCATGTAAATGATCAATTGTATAGTAGATCATCAATTATGATTTATTTTGACGATAGTAACCCTTCATTCACATAAGTATATGCACTACTAATAGTACTAATATAACAATTAAACTGGAAGACCAAGAGATCTTAGATTGCAAATTACTTTTTAAAACTTTGATTCTATTGCAACAAACAAAAACAACTACGTCTTACCTGAACATTATCTAGTCTGATTTCAGCATTGTCTCTTTCTGCTTTTAATTCCAACTCCACATTCAATAAAGCTATTTTTGCATCTTTGTATTTTTTAGGTTGCATACAAAAACCAGCATAGGAGAATGTTTTCTTGAAAGCGACACCCGAAATTAGTCTGGAATCCTGCAGAAACAAGGTGCATTGTAAATACCATCAAAGAAACAGGAAGTACAAAACTCAAACCAAAGATTGGCTGCAAAATTCTTTATTATATTTTATTATATTGCAATGCAATATTCATAGCTACAAAATTTCCAGTTTTCCCAGACTGGCAAAATTTGTCTTGTAAAAAAGCGTCCACAGTATTTTTTGCATAACCCACAAGGTTTTTAAAATTTTTTAATATTATTTTACTTATTTAAGAACCAAAGAGCCCAAAACATTGCAATGACATTTAATTCCTTTATAAACAGAGAAGTAATTATTTACCTCCAGAGCACCACCAGTAACTTTCTTTATACCTATCATGTCAAGTGGCAACAACTCATCTAATAACATCACAGCATCTACAATCATTACCGCAAAAAATTCTTTATGGGCCGCAACCAATTTAGAACTCAAAGTCGTCGCAGCACATTTTTCAAGTACCTCTCGTAATTGCCTAAGAGAAACCAGTAAAAATGTTAAAGAAACTGGTCGTACAAGAAGAAATTGTACAGGGCGTGTTACCTGTAGGATCATACAAAAGTACCAGGATGTATGACCTCCAGGGTCATACAAAGTACCAGGATGTGTGACCCCCAGGGTCATACAAAGTACCAGGATGTGCGACCTCCAGGGTCATACAAAGTACCAGGATGTGCGACCTCCAGGGTCATACAAAGTACCAGGATGTGTGACCTCCATGGTCATACAAAGTACCAGGATGTGTGACCTCCAGGGTCATACAAAGTACCAGGATGGGTGACCTCCAGGGTCATACAAAGTACCAGGATGGGTGACCTCCAGGGTCATACAAAGTACCAGGATGTGTGACCTCCAGCCAGGGTCAAACAAAAATACTAGAAAACGTGACCCATAGGGGTAAAAAAATTCAACTTACTGCGGGTCATCTTTCTTCACTTTGACTGAAATCTCTTTAATTTTTTCCAGTACTAAATGAGTTGCTTTTCTGTAGGCTCTTACAATGATCTGTGGGTGGACATTATCTTCAATACAAGGCTTAACTTGCTTGAGGAATTCAGCTGCTATGAGAGTAACCGATGTAGTACCATCACCAACCTAGGATTATACATAATATCAATATGGTCAAATACCTCTGCGGCTACTGGCAGTGAGAATATCACAATTTATATACTGTAAACAAACATTTTCGGCAATCAATGAAAACGACATTTTATAGCAGCAGAAAATTTTTCTTGGGTTCTACTACACTGAGTCTGACTTTTACAAAATTGTGTCTTCATGAATTCCAAAAAATCTTTAAATTGGTTCAGAGGTCATGCTACACAACAAGCATGGTCACTGAGTTTAGACCAGACTTGTACAAACTCAATGATACAGACATTTTTTTAATGACACTTAAATGATCTTTTCAAATTTACTCAATCAAATGTATGTTTCTTTTCTATGGTCCTGACTATAATGAAGACTGGACCAACTCTCAAAAAAAACACAGCCAGGTCTGTCAGACATTCTATTACACCGCACTAGTACAGTACAATGAAAGAATAAACAGACATGAACATTAATTTACCACAAGTGTAACGCCAAAAAAGACAGTTATTATTCTCTTTTAGCTGACTTACTTGTGGAACAGGCTCAAAAAATAAAGAAATTTTTCCACAGATTTAATATTTTACCATTTTTGTGTGAAAATGTCCATATCTATACAAAGTGCATCTGCTATTTTGGATCTTGTCACTTGGTTGAATTTTATTCACAGAAGGTCAGTGTCTTAGTCATTGCACAGTACAGGTATGTAAACAATGCATTTGACGCAAGTTGTATAATGTCACAGAAGACCCATATCAAACAAGTGCCTCGAAAGCCACCAACCTTCAAGTCAACCAAGTGCATTTCAACTTTTTTATACACAACATCTTTGTTTCATGATTTAATGCAAAAATTGTTTGTCTCAGAGTTTTCATTGAAAATATCTGTGACTAATATTTTTGAGGGCCAAGTTACAGTCTAAATAAATCTAGAAAGAAAAAAGATGATTACTTTCACTGCTTACCTCCGCATCTTGTGACTTGGCAATCTGTACTAATGTTTTTGCTGCAGGATGGATAACATCTAATAATTTCAATATTGTTGCACCATCATTGGATATTGTCACTTTACCTAGAAAATGAGCAAAATGTTTTGTTGTAATTAGATTAGTCTTTCAGGGTATTGACCATTGCAAAGTGGGCTACAATATGGTAAACAAATTATATTTTCTCTTCGTTCAGTACGGCCTATATTTTCTGCAAAAAAAAAGTTTGCTTTTTCCTTCAAATTATTCTGTGAAAATTATTACCCTCCTCCAGACAAAATTTTTGATGGTCAACCCCTCAAGTAATCAAGATTTTGGATATAAAATTATTTCAT